TTTTTTTTTTTTTTTTTTTTTTTTTTTTTTTTTTTGGATCCGAAAGAACTATGCGTAACTTTATCTAGAAACAGGTTTTTAATTGAGAGTGCAGTGCTGCTATTTCTTACATAATTAAAACGAACCGAAATTTTCAGTTTTTAGTTTAACACTGAGCTCTTGCTTTTTATTTTCAGGGTTAAAAAATGCCTTTAAATGCTCTTTCTTCGGTCGTGGTGGCTACTACAGGAACACCCCCAGAATTCGACTGGAGTGCAGAAATCGAGAAAAATCTCACGGCTGTTGAAAGGATAGGTAAAATGCTGATTGCTGAAAGATTTAAGGCGAAAAAAGGTCCTGGAGCTGACCTTGCACTTATGAGTCGTGAGGTTGGGTTTGTTTTTTGTTTTGATATTGAAACTTGCCAAAATCCTACTTTCTTCTCTTATTTCTTAATTTCATCTTGTAGAGGGGGACTGTTCAGTGCTCTTTTTTTTCTGAAAGTTTAATATTATTTCAAGTTGCTCTTTCTTCTCTTTTAAGGCAGAATTGATAAGATGTGTTTCTCGCATCTACGTATTAAATTCAATTCATCGAGTTTCGCGCTTCCCTCCACTTGCACAGTGGCTTCTATATGTAAATTTAGCTCCGACTGAAATGCGTGCTTTGCTTGAACGGGTACGCACAATACAGGAGCTGGCAGCCTTAAATGATAAACAGGTGAATCATTTTTTGACTGGTTACTCTTCTTTTCTGGTTTCCTCAGCTTTTTTCTTTCAATGTTCAATTACGATAAGAGACTGTACTCTTTGGAACTCTGTTTTCATTTTGTTTGGTCTATCAGCTTTTAATTTACTTCTAGATTGTTGATATGTGTGAAAGTTTACGGTTTCACGCAGAAAATCGACGACGTTTGCGCAAATCTTCCTATAGTTTAAAACGATATATACTGAAGTGGCAGTGTAAGTTGTTTTTCGCCTCTTTCTATTAATTCATCAATACATTATTTGATTTTTTCAGCTGATGGGATTGAACCTTTAAGGGTGTTCTCGGACAAGGATTTAGCTTGGCTCAGCTTTGATTACTCAACACCAAGCAGGGAGCGGAGCAATATTTCAGAAAGTGGGACGGATATCACAGAACAGCAAGATTCTTGTGCTAGTGATTCCGGTTCTGGTTTAT